ACGTCCATGTTCCTACTCTGGAAATGATGATGCATACAATGGACTCCGGACTAGGTGCGTTCCTCTAAGTATTCATACCAATATGAACAAGTTGCGAAAACAAGGTCAAACAACTTTTAACCAAACAGAAAGTTTAAGACTATGATGTCTTATGGCTTCCCATTTCAAAGGGAATGTTGGTTAGAAGGAGTTCATGTTGTCGTACTAGAAACGGAAGAAGGCTCGCAGCATAAGGGAGAATGTTTAGCTGTGTCAACAGGTCCTTCGCTCGTTGTCCTGCGACCCTTATGAACTTGTGCTAAGCCTTTATCCCCAATGTGGCAGACATCAGCAGGGCAATAATCTATAGAAGTTGTTTTACCTTGTTTTAGCAACTTGGTCACATTGGTAGAAAGACCTATACCGGAGTCCGTTGTATGTATGATTATTTCTAAAGTCAGACCGTGGACGTGGTACTTTCTCAGACGTTTCGCCGGCACCATCTGTGAGTTTCGCCGGCACCATCTGTGAGTTTCGCCGTTCGTAGCACCATAGTACAGCTTGTCAAAGAGACAAGTGAAGCACATTCTTTGAACAAACGTGTGTTAAACAGTTGTATCTCCCCTTCTGCTCTGGGCTTTTCACATTCCCTATATCCTCCTATCATGCCTTCTCTGTCACAATTTTTACCGTGCTTTTTTAAAATGTATTGTGGAGTTCTCCTTCGAGCGGCATTCATGAAAACCCTTTACACTCCGCGCTTTCGTTATCACTCCCTTCACCCTTGTGCTGGGAATGTTGACCATAGTCTGTCATATTGTTACGTAGTCCATTCCTAGGTTCTATCATAGTCTTCCTCTTGCCCCCTCTAATCAGTCTGCTATCTCCCTGGTACATGTATTTCACTTGACTACTGCCCCTCCCATCTGCTACTCGAGGCATAATTCGTCCATCCCCTGCACCTAGGTGATTGATTAGAGGCTAAAGCCTCAGAGTAAGTCTCATGGTCATGCCTTTGCTACATGGATCTCATCTCTTGTATGACCTACTATCAGCCAACTAGCTCCAATCGCCGCCGCGTCTATCCTGTCTCTATCCCTAATATAAATTCTTTGATTTGCCATGCCCTAGTCTCTCACAAATGTTGTGGTACTGCTTGCTTTGATTAGGTTCAATGTTGAGCCACAACGTTAGTGAGTTTTGCTACGGTACATCAGTGAACTCTCGATTTTTGCCTTATATTACATTTTTACCTTGCTGCCTATCTCCCGAGATTTTTGTGTAAATTAATTGTACGTTAAAATTAACCACCAATTCCCTTCTTAGCAATCCAATGTTTCTTGATCTTTTGAGAAAAGTTTGAATCAATCGAATATATGAAGACCAAGATGTTGTGGCCTCTGGTGTGGTCGCAGTCCCCTTTCAATTGATAGAAGTGGGTTGACCTCGTTGTCGCAACTTGGTCTTGTTCTCACGGAGACCATGTAGAACGCACCTAGTCCGAAGTCGTCTGCCATAGTAGTTGTCATGATTCCCAGCTCTGATAGTCGACTTGATACATTCTCAAACGT